AAGGGAGCAGGGGATTCAGTCATGAGGAAATCGGTGAGTGTGATGAGAGCAACTGGGCTATTACTCAAGGGGAAGCAGGGAGCCACTCCTGAGATACTGGCTGATCTGTAATTCCTAAAAGTGTTTGCAGCACACTAAAAGGCAGTAGGCGATAACAGCGTTTATTTCTCTCAGCTTCCTCAAGAGAATTTGAGAAGGACTAGAGATAGGATATCAGAAAAGGAAACAACAAGGATTTTTCAAAGCGGTGCCCCATTCTTTTACCATGAATTTTGAAAAGAAATTCTGTTACTTCTGGTTCTGTATACATTAGGTATTGTAGTAGTCACTTTCCCAGCATCGGGACAAAATACCCGACACTTGCAACTTAAAGGAGGAGAGGTTTATTTTGGTTCACAGTTTCAGTCCACTGGAGGCTGGCTTCACAGTAGAAACAAGATGGCAGAGGGGGATGGTGGAAAGCGCGCTCAACTCATGAGAGCCAGAAAGCAGGGAGAGGGGAGGGGTCATGACAAGAATACACCCTATACGGGTCCCCTGTGACCCATCCCCACCCAGGCCCCACCTCCTAACAGCTCCTTCAGCTACTGAACTCATCAATGGATGGACCCACTGTTGAGTCTTCTGCCCCCCGTTGTCCATTCACCTTCCAAAAGCGACATCTCTAAATACACGAGACTTTGCGGGGGCATTTCGTATTTAAGCCGTAACATTGTTATAAGATGTAAAATTAATATTTCCCCTTCTCCTCCATAACTCTCCATCTCTACATCTATTTCCACAATTCTGAGATGCACAATTTTGATGTTCCCAAGTCTGGTGATGACACTGTATTTATGGGCTGACATGAGCTGCATCTGCTATAGCACTGGAAGAGTCTGGAACTTCTGCAGCCTCCCCTTCTCCCCCCAGCTCTGATTCCAGGCAAAACCTTTTCTTATTTTCAAAAGAAGGCCTGAGATTGCAATGGCAAGGAAATGTAAACTCCTGTTCATCACATTCAGAGGTGTAACTCTAAAGACTCATTATCTTTCCACTTACATGGAAATGATGTTAACCTTTCAGTTGAGCCAGAATCATGGTACTTTTCTGGAGCAGGCAAATAGATCTATTTGTAGAATGAATCACCTTTTCTAAAGGGCTCTCTAGAGGAGTACTGATCCTGCTTGAATATATACTTTCACCAAGACTTTGGTTCAAAGAAAGAAATGAAATCTTTGAAGGATGGCTAAAGTTGGCTATATATAAGAATCAAAATGAAAGAAGTTTTGATTCACAGGCAGAGAGGTAAGTACAAGGCAGAGGGCTTTGAAGTAGAGAGGCAATTAGCCTAAATTACTCACAAGCTAATATTTATTTAAATGCTAGATATGTGAAAATGGATACATGACTGTCAGCAAAATGGGTAAATCCCCTTGTGGTTTTATTGATGGATTTTTGTTTCTATTATGCAAAAAGTGAAGTTTTCTTAGAACAATATAGGTTAAAAAAAAATACACCTTTGACCTGACAGTCACATACATCATTATGTACTTGTGTAGTATAATGTTAAAAAAAAAAAAAATCTCCCATTTGCATTTCCCAGTAGTGACATAAATATCTAGCACATTAGTTAGAATAAAGCTGTTGGGAATAAGACACATGGAGAGAGTTAGTTCATCATGAATTGTCTTGATGTTCTTTCTTTCAGTACTTGTCACTCCAGAACAAAGTCAGACATCAGCCCAGTTCTCTGGGCTCCAGTGAGTGCCAAGAGCCACCATTGGGGTGGTCCACTCCAGGCAGGCAATTAGAGAATGCATTGTCTGCAGAGAGTTAAAGAACAATAATAAAACCAGCTAAAAGTCAGTCTGCCTCATGTTATTACCATGAGGTGGTGATTCTGTTGCAATTTCAATGTTCGCATCCTCCTCCCTATAGGGGTAGTTGGCTCCCCTTGCTCACCCCTCTTGTTCAGTCATTTTCTGGCACCCCACGTGGGGCAGATGTAGACTAAGGAACGGGCTTTAATATCCAAGAGGTTATAAAAATGTTCTGCCATGATTCTGCAGTGCTGAGATTCATATGGATTCTAACATTGCCACCAAGTTGCTGTGGAATGGCAATAAATTTGATTCTTTGAGAGCACCCGGTGTGTACCAAGCAGTGGTTGAAAAGAGTAGTGGGAACCAGGCCCAACCCTGCCCTACACAAGCTGCAGTCTTGTAGAGAAGGCAGAAATCACATTCATAGTCACAGGGTTGTGGCTGTGCTGGTCACAGACAGAGTAGAGATCTTGGCCTTGGCTAGAGGGTTCAAGAGGCCTTTTGAGGAAGTGGTACTGTAGTTTTTCAAGGATATTTGTCATACTGGAAACCAACAAGCAAAGAGACAAATGAGAGATTTTGCCTTTAAATGGCTGTCAGTGTAATCCCTTGAATCTCACATCCTGTGTCCTCTTTGAATTGAATAGTGGTTCACTCCAATGGGCATGGGACCAAGATGGAGAACATTCTGCCAACTATGCCAAGGGGTTCCTCTTGATACCCATAAGGTGCTTTCCTTAAATTGGTAGTTCCCAGACCTGTTGGCACATTACAGTCACCTGAGAGCTTTTAAAAATTTATAGAAAAAAGAAAAATCCACCAATGTCCAGGCCCCATCCTGGATCAATGAAATCAGAATGCGAGAAAGATGGTGGTGGTGGTGGAGGAAGGCATCAGGCACCAACATGTGTAAGAAAGAACATGCCACATGACTCTGATATGCAGCCAGGGTAGAGAATTACTGCCTTAGGTGAATCTACTAAATTCCTCTTCGTCCTGTAAGAATGATTTAACATTTCACATTAGAAAACTTCAGAAGGTGAATGGGATTGCTTTGGTGAGAGGTGTCAGTGTTTATGCGAGGGCGATGGTTCTGAGGCTTCGCACACTTGCTGAGCTTCTGGTTCTGTGCCACTTTTCTGTGCCTGGAGCCAAGTTCAGGCCCACGGTAATGGGGGCTTCGTGCAGAGGACAACATGATGGCTCAAGAAAGAAGCAAGTTTCTGGCTTTTCTCTTTCCACTTCCCAGTCTTTCCAATCCTTCTTTCTTTTCCACTGCTGTTTCATGTAGCTTCATAAATTATGAGGCTTTATGTGAAATCTATAGTTCCTTTGGAGAAGCACATTCAAATCTTAGAAAATGGGATTTTTTTCCTTTTGGTCTTTTAACACATAAAAAACATTGTGAGCACCTTACATGTAAATGGAATGAATGTATTTTTGCCACTAATGTTGAAAATATCCTAGGCATCTGGTGTGTATGAATGTGTATACATAGTATATGCATAATAAACATATTCTACCTTATGAATATTTATATATAAGATACATATATATTGAATATAGATATGCATATGTAAATAGTGGCCCTTGTAAACTATATGCAAATTGTGTTTCCAAGCATATGTATGTTAGTGTACCAGGAGTATAATAAACTACCAAGTTTAGCATATTTTGAGGTGGCATGTTCCACAGAGTTGTAGGTTTTTTCCCATCATTTAAATGTTTTTTAAGTACCAATGAAAAGTAAGTCACTGGACATGGCAGTGTTAGAAAGATGAAATAAGTCTGTAATCCCAGCACTAGGGAGGCTGAGGCAAGAGGATCACTGAGTGTTTGAGGCCAGCCTGTGCTGCACAGTGAGTTCAAGGCAAGCTTGAATTATTATTAAAAACAAGCAGAACATTCTCCAGTGGTCAAAATATGGAACCTTACTGAAATGACAAGACCCAGGTTAGCCTGGGAGCTTTGAGTGACACTGGTCAAGGCAAATTTCACCCATCAAAGAAGAAAAAAGACATAAGCATTGTCATCTCTATGCCACAGAGGTATGCTCATTGTTTTTTCTCCCTCAATATATACATCACAACAGGTAGTTCTCAGCTGTTCCACTGGTGCCAGACATACATTTTATCTAAAGAGACAGCAGACAAAACTACCTGCTGCTTCCTGTGCGGCTCTCCCTGTGTTTCTTTCCTTTTTTCCTACTTCACTGGGGCTTTTAAAAATCAGCTGGAAGGGAGCCAGGAGCTCATCATTTTAATGCAGTGCAAAATGGAATATGCATAATTATATGCAAGCCATATGTGAGGGAGACAGCTCAGCTGTGAATTTCAGGAGGCCAGAAAGAGAGAGCAGTTAGAGCAGTTAGGGCTAAGATGAGCTGAGAGCAGTGCAGAGTGCAAGTGTCACCCAAATGAGTGGTCTAACGAGTGTGCTGCAGACGCACACCCCTTTCACCTACCTCTCCCTTTCGCCAACTCCATGCCAGAAACCAATGGAGATTAGAAAGAGAAGACTGTGCAAGTGGTATTGCTAATGGGTTCTGTTAATGTCTCCACTTAAACTTCAGCTTTCTTAATTAACAGTGTAGATCAAAATAACCAGTAACTTTTAATGCAGCTTCTTAATTAAATCTATTATTTTTACTGCATTTGACTGAAGAATCACTGTTCTTTACTAGCTCATCGCTCCTTTTAGATCTTTATTTAAAAATCAAGGGGAATCAGTTTATCTCTGATAGTATTACAATGCAAAAATATAACTATGCAAATTGCTTTTCTTATGGCCTTGCTATTAGAATTTTTTACAAGTGCATTATCTAGAGATTGCTTAAGCATGCCAAAAAGTTTAAACACGTACGTATGTCATATAATCCAAAATGTGCGATGAACAATGTGCACTGAAAGACTAAAGTGGTGGTAATTTCCAAGGAAGTTATTTGATTTTGATTTGGTTCATATTGTTTGAAAATATTACACCACAATGAATTTGCATGTTCAAACTAAACAATGTAAAGAAAAACAAACCCCAAATTTTGATATCTAAAAGGCGTACTACGTATTTAAACAAACTTCTTAATAATGTTGTTATTTCTGGATTCCCGTTTGTTTAATGATCTGAGCTGTTATGCTTTTAGCTTTTTTTCTTCCATTATTTGTAAGTCCCTAAATAGGCCATTATATTTCCCTTCAGGCTAGAGATGAAGATGGACATGCTGAAAATTTTCCCCAGCAGCACTATGCTAAGGAAACTCCAAGGCTTGCCTTCAAGAATAACTGCGAACTACTTGTAAGAATAACATACTTACAACAAGTCTAGAATGTTACTTTAGCACAGTGAAAACAGTTCTGAAAAGGGTTTGTTCATTATTACATAATTTATGAAATATTATAGTTTTTCTGTATAGAGTTCTAAATGCTAATTCTGATATCACTAAATATTAATTATAAGATCTCAAGGTGTTTGCAAATCTTTTTATATCTGTTTGTAGAGCTTGAATGGCCCTGTCTCTATTAGTTTGTTTTGTGTAGTAGTTTATAAGCAGCCACTTGGAGAATGGCTAGTAAAATTAAAGATACAAGGACAGTTGCTATATGAAGCTTGGACAAAAAAAAAATCAAACCATCCTTCCCCCTCTCATATAGTCCTGATCACACACTGTTGTAGGAGACAACCGTTGTGATATTTTGTTTTGCTAGGAAAGGTAGTGGAGCTGACATGAAGTATTCCCTTTAGAATTCAAGTATTCCCCCATTCTCTTGCCAAACTCAATCATCTCTCCTCGGAAGAAGGAGTCAAAGTGGTGACAGGATGGGGGGATGTTTACAAGTCGTGAGAGAGAGGCCATCAGCTGTGACAGAAACTCGGTTCCAACGCAGGGTTAATTTGCTGTTCATTTTAGCATTTACAGTGAGACAAGATGAAAAGCAAGCAGGAATGCCTATTATATTTCTATTAAATGAATCTGTTGGGACCTAATGTTCTTGATTAGCTTTTGAAAATGAGGCTCCACAATGCGTTTTCTGTTTACCTAAAGTAAACAGAGAATGAATTGTCATTTACTTAGAGATTCAAACACTGTTTTGAAAATGAAGCTTTATGAAGGGATCTAGCTACGTTGTCCCTAAATGTTCTTTTCTTTTCAATTGCATTAAAGCAAAACATTTGCTCCCACTAAGTGAAAACAGGGAAAGAGAATGAGGATGCTTAGTTGTTAACGTTTTGAGGTAGTTTAAGTTCTGTTTAGTGTTTTGGCCAAATATAGTAGAGCTCTGCCAGGTCTCTGTATTAGGAACTCCCACATGTAACAGTCTTTGGATTTAGCTCTGGTACCAACTGTTCATTAAAAACAAAGCGTCCAAAGAGCAGAAGAGAGAAAGAAGGCCTTCCCCATTCTGACCACAGCAGGGAGATGCTGCACGGAGAGCAGTGCAGAGTGCACTGCTCATCCCAGTCCTAGCTGGCCAGGCTCAAACAGTACCACTTATTCCAGGGTGCAGGCACTTGACCAGCCAGTCAACGGGCAGGCTCGCTGCTTATAAATACAATCTTTTAAATGAAAAATTACCACCCTTATATTTTCTATTAGGGCGTCTACACCTCCTAACGTGCTAGTGTTCCCTGTTCTTGGAAAATTCTTCTTATTTCAATTTTAATGTTTCTCTCCATAGCTATGGTTAGACCGGAGGGACCATTTGTACTGTGTTTTGGTATCAGAATGCTTTTAAAAGTAGCCTGCTTCTATTTAGAGAAATTGTTATAAGTAATGTGCCATATTTAATATTTTTTCTATTGGAAGAGTGAACATGCTTGAGTCCTGGTTGTGGTCAGTTTAAACTGGAGGAAGTAAAAATATATGTGAACATCTTTTCCAGTTATCTTTAGAGAAAATAAGACACTTCTGCGCTGTGCTTATGCATAATATTGTGTTGTCAGTTTTGAGAGATTTGGTACAATCTTTATCTTCCTAGTCACTGTTAGAAATGCTTTATTTTTTAAAATTTTTTATTTTTTGGCATACTTTTCTGTTATAAAAGAAAAGGAAGAATAAAGAGAAAATGCAAGTAAGCTTATTTCTCCAAGGAGAAGTTTAAATTTTTTTTCAGCTGCAAGAAAAATGATGGTGGTTAGCTGTTATGAGGCCCTGAGAAGTTATGCTTCTATATGAAAAAGACTTTTCATTGTTGAGAGAAATAGGAAGTCCTTGGAGTTTTCTTAGCGCAGACTTTTTTTTTAAGAAATCTGTCAGAGAAGAGTGTAAGCTCCATTCCAAAATGCTCTTTTAGCTTAAGGTCGGTTCTGCCATCTTCTTGCATGGTTTGCTGCAGCCAGAGCGGCAACCAGTCGAGAAAGTGTGGGAAAAAGCATTGAGGGCACAGCTCCTTCTAGGCTCCGGAATGTTCTGGAGCATAGGGCTGCAAGGTTTGTCCACAGGCACTGAGAGACAGAGCCCTGGCCAGGTAGACAGGATAATGCTCTGTCTTTATTATTGACTATCAAATGTCTCTGTGCCCCCCACCCCCCACACACACACCATAACCTCTGCTTCTTGGAAAGAGAGGAATACTAAGTGACCTAAACAAAAGCAAAGTAAAATCAATGCCTGGAATGTACAAGTGTGTGTAATCAGAAGGCACTGACAAAGATAGCATTGGCTGGTAGAAAGATGTACTGTGCAACTGTAGATTTCCTATAGGGTATTGATTTTTCCATTTAAATTCCAAACTGTGATATGTGCCTTCACACTTAATGTACACCACAGATGACTAGATATTTAACTTGGTAGCCAAGATTCTTTATCTGGTGACTATAGCACTATATGCTTCTTATTAAATTTGAAAATACAGGGCTATCAGAGTGAGTGACATTAGATGAAACAGTACTATGTGGTGCATCACAATTCAGCATGGCCACCTGTCTCTTCATAGATGAGTGGTATGTATTTGTGCACAGAGATGCACACACTGGGTTATTTTGCTGGCATAGTCAAATTTATAATTGAAGAAGACAACTTTCAATAAAAGAAAATGTAGGAAATTATATCATTTTAACACTGCAGCAACATGGCTTACAAGAATCAGGAGGGAACACACAAGCCCAACCATGGGTGAACTAGCCCTTTCCCAAATTCCAACACCATTGTTGGTCCTTTTTCATTATTGCCTCTCTTTTGAGGACTGTAAGGCTTCTCATTTTCCCTAATACCTTGCTCATATCACTAATGGGATTGGGTTAAGAGGTAGAAGAGCATATTATAAACTCACACTCACCAGTGAGTTCTTAGTTCTTGAAAGCTAGCTGAGAGTAGGACCATGTAGAAATACAGAGAAAAGACCTGTGACTAGAAGAAAGGGATGTTGAGAGGTTTTGGAGAAGGAAAGAAAGACAACTGAGTCTACATCCCGCATTGTTTTGGGACCAGTACAGAGAACATCACTGAATTCAGGAAGGTCAAAATATAACCAAGGATAGCAGCAAGTGATGTAGTTATTATTTGGTTGGGGGGGGAAAACAGGTTTAGAAGTTCTGAAAGGGAAAATAAGAAGTTCAAGGGGAAAGACAGCTTGTCCTCCTCAGTTTCAGATCTCCGAGTCATCACCTAGACAAAGTATGAATCCCTATGGCTTTTCTCAGGCTGTTAGGGGTGAGGGTTTTGCAGAGGGAGAGGGAGGAAGCCCACAGCTGGGAGGCTAAATAAAAATAGTATGCAAAAGATTTCTTTCTGGTCACTTATGATGCCAGTGTAGGGAGAACATGAAAACTATTTTGGTTTTGTGGCCTTGTGAACAGAGATGATGGGGAGGAAAAAGCTTAGGCTATTCTTCTGTGGGCTGATTTTTCCATCTCATTTCCTTGTGAGGACAGGCAGGTGGATTATAAAAGTTGCATGTGGTTCTTTGCAGAAGTCCTGTACTAATGCAGTCTTCAGTTAATGAGACTTTCCAGAACATCTTCAATGCACAGGGAAATGTACTAGACCAGTGGTGGTAAACCTGTGGCACATGTCTGTTATCATTGAAAGCTCTAAATGGTTCACCATCACTATGTTAGACAATGCAGATGGAGGCGCAAAATAGAATAAGATGCTGTCCCTTCCAAAAGGAGTTTATAGTTCAGTAGAAAGAGCATAATGTATTCAGTATTGTAGTCATCGAGTATGTAGATTGTCAGGTCAAAAAGCTGAAAGATTTCCTTACTTAGACTTTATGACTAAGAGTCATAAATACAAAAGCTTAACATTTATCATCAAATATCTGACATAACACTGGACCCCTAGTTCACCTCTTAGACTCCCTGAGCTTCAAATTTTCATCTGTAAAATGTGATAATAAATGTCAGGGATTATTGGGAGAATGGGAAGCATTTTAAAAGGGCCTGGTACATAGTAAGCACTCAGTACATGTTAGCTGCTATCATTATGATTCTTCTTATAATCATGATTGTTATCACCACACAGTGAGCTTTGTCATGAAAGAGTGTGAACAAAGTTTTGGTGTACAAAGGAGAATAAGACTATTTCCTTATGCAGTCACTGAAGACTTAAAGGGGGATGGATACCTTAGATCTAAGCATTATAGGAGTTGTATTTTGACATCTGGAGCTGGTGTGTAAGAGAAGGTTTTCGTAGCAGAAGGAGTTAATATGGGCAAGGCAGAGAGGTGGGAAAATGCAAGCCAGATGCCCTGTATGTGGTTACTATCTCAGATGGCCAAGAGTTGGGTACCCAAAGGCTAAGGGGTGGGGAAGCATTTGTAGGTGGTTGAGTGACTGATACTCTCCTATTGGTACATCATGGTAGTTCTTAGCACATCATGGTAGTTCTTAGAACCAGAGCCAAGTATGGAAGAGCATATGTTCTCCAGGAAGACAAAGTGGTTGGCTGCCTTCTCAGGGGAGGGACCAGGTCTTACACATTTTTTTCATCCCAGGTCCAGAGAAGGAGTTCAATCTATGATTGTAGATGAAGGAATTAAGAAATTAATTCAGATCCTCTTTCTAGCATCTTTCTAATAACAATTCTTTGGTAGGCTTCTGAAGTCAGAAAGAACATCTGTGGGGAATGTTAGGAAGGGCAGCTTATTCCGAAAGACATGTCAGTATTTTAAGATTTCCCAGTGTCCAATAAATTGTGAGGAACAGGGCCAAAGTATGTATGTATATATGTATATGTATATGTGTGTGT